CAATCTGAAAGATAGAGAGATGCCCTCTGAATGTCACATACAAGGCTATAAATTATTCCACACTGACAGGGTCAACAGGGAAAAGGGGGTGGAGTAGCGATGTATATCAGAGACAATTTAAATTGTTGTGTTAGACAAGATATTAAATTAGAAGCGTCACCACTGAATCCTGTTTGGTTACAGCTTCTCGAGGGCCGAGAAAAACTAATTTTGGGTGTGATTTTACAGGGCCCCAAATCTTGATAGGGAGTGCAGTAAACTTCTATGGGACGAAATTCGTAAGGCATCTACATACGAAAATGTTGTGCTAATGGGAGATTTCAACTATAGACAGATTGACTGGAGCAATTTGACAGGAAATTTAGTGTCAGGTGACTTTCTTGATACGATCCAGGATTGTTTTTTTAAAACAGTTTTGTGACAGAGCCAACTAGGGGAAATAACCTCCTTGACTTGGGTTCTTGCCAGTAGGGAAACACTAATTAATAATCTTGAGGTTAATGATGAGCTTGGGGAAAGTGATCACAAATCACTCAGTTTTAATGTATCATGTAATTCCCCTAATAATGGCAATCAAGTCTCCGTCCCTGACTTTCGCTTGGCTGATTTCATAGGACTGAAAAATTACTTAGGTGGCTGAACTGGAATGACCTGACTAAGGGACAGGTAGGTGGTGATGGTTGCTGATATGATGCTTTCCAGGGCATAGTTCTAGCTGCTCAGTCAAATTATGTTTCCCAAAAAGGGAAATCAGATCAAACAAAAATGATCCTAAATGGATGAACAATAGATTAAAATATCTGATTGGTCAAAAGAGAGGCATATATAGGCAAATCAAAAGAGGAGAGGGGCAATTAAGAAATCGATATATTCAATTAAAGAGAGAAATAAAAAAGGGAATTAGAAAAGCAAAAAGAGATTATGAGGTTAAAGTTGCAAGAGAATCGAAGACTAACCCAAAAGGATTCTTTCAGGTATACAGAAATAAGATCAGGGACAAGATAGGCCCACTCAAAAGTTCCTCGGGTCAGCTCACTGACAGTGATAAGGAAATATGTAGAATTTTAAAAACATACTTCCTCTCAGTTTTTACACAGGAGGATACCAGCGATATTCCAGTAATGATAAATTATATGTAGAACAGGACGATAATAAACTGTGCACGATTAGGGTCACAAGTGACATGGTCCTTAGGCAAATAGATAAATTAAAACCTAAACAATCCCCAGGCCCTGATGAACTGTATGCAAGGGTTCTAAAGGAATGTAAAGAGGAGCTTAGCACACCTTTGGCTAATCTTTTCAACATATCACTACAAACTGGCATGGTGCCAGATAAGTGGAAAATGGCAAATGTGATACCTATTTTCAAAACAGGTGACAGGTCCTTAGCTTCGAACTATAGACCAATAAGCCTAACCTCCATAGTGGGAAAAATTTATGGAATCAATAATTGCCGAGGCAGTTCGTAGCCACCTTGAAAAGCATAAATTAATCAACGAATCTCAGCATGGTTTTACAAAGGGGCGTTCCTGCCTCACGAATTTATTAACTTTTTTCACTAAGGTATTTGAGGAGGTAGATCATGGTAATGAATATGATATTGTGTATATGGACTTCAGTAAGGCTTTTGACAGGGTCCCACATCAGAGACTATTGAGGAAAATTAAAGCACATGGAATAGGAGGAGAATTTTTTTCCTGGATAGAGGCATGGTTGACAAATAGGCAGCAGAGAGTTTGCATAAATGGGGAGAAATCAGAGTGGGGAAGCGTCACGAGCGGTGTTCCACAGGGTCAGTGTTGGGCCCCCTGCTGTTCACAATCTACATAAACGACATAGATGAGGGCATAAAGAGCGACATCGGCAAGTTTGCCGATGACACCAAAATAGGCCGTCGAATTCATTCTGACGAGGACATTCGAGCACTCCAGGAAGATTTGAATAGACTGATGCAGTGGTCGGAGAAGTGGCAGATGCAGTTTAATATAGACAAATGCAAAGTTCTAAATGTTGGACAGGACAATAACCATGCCACATATAAACTAAATAATGTAGATCTTAATATTACGGATTGCGAAAAAGATTTAGGAGTTCTGGTTAGCAGTAATCTGAAACCAAGACAACAGTGCATAAGTGTTCGCAATAAAGCTAATAGAATCCTTGGCTTCATATCAAGAAGCATAAATAATAGGAGTCCTCAGGTTGTTCTTCAACTCTATACATCCTTGGTTAGGCCTCATTTAGATTATGCTGCACAGTTTTGGTCACCGTATTACAGAATGGATATAAATTCTCTGGAAAATGTACAAAGGAGGATGACAAAGTTGATCCATGTATCAGAAACCTTCCCTATGAGGATAGACTAAGGGCCCTGAAACTGCACTCTCTAGAAAGACGTAGAATTAGGGATGATATGATTGAGGTGTATAAATGGAAGACAGGAATAAATAAAGGGGATGTAAATAGTGTGCTGAAAATATCTAGCCTAGACAGGACTCGCAGCAATGGTTTTAAGTTGGAAAAATTCAGATTCAGGAAGGATATAGGAAAGTACTGGTTTGGTAATAGAGTTGTGGATGAGTGGAACAAACTCCCAAGTACCGTTATAGAGGCCAGAACGTTGTGTAGCTTTAAAAATAGGTTGGATAAATACATGAGTAGATGTGGGTGGGTGTGAGTTAGACCTGATAGCTTGTGGTACCAGGTCGGTTGCCGTGTTCCTCCCATAAGTCAATGTGACCTGACCTGACTAGGTTGGGTGCATTGGCTTAAGCCAGTAGGAGACTTGGACCTGCCTCGCATGGGCCAGTAGGCCTTCTGCAGTGTTCCTTCGTTCTTATGTTCTTACTCATACACAGCGTAGGCCTTATTCTCCCCCACCTCCAATGGTCGTCTTCTTCACTACCACCTCTCACAAACATTATATATATATATATATTATATATATATATATTAATATATATATATATATATATATATATATATATATATATATATATATATATATATATATATATATATAGTATATATCACGCTTGGTTTATGTTGGATCTTTACCATCTACAATAAAAACACACTAACCATAGTCTCATGCCTGACTGAAAGTGTGGGTCTGCAGCCTGCCTGAGCAGTGGCTCTCAAGCAAATCTATTGGCCGTCCACTACCTGGAGTCTACCTGGAGGTTATTCCGGGGATCAACGCCCCCCCGCGGCCCGGTCCATGACCAGGCCTCCCGGTGGATCAGGGCCTGATCAACCAGACTGTTACTACTGGCCGCACGCAGTCCAACGTACAAACCACTTTAGGTATCTGTCCAGCTCTCTCTTGAAGGCAGCCAGGGGTTTATTGGTAATTCCCCCTTATGCTTGTTGGGAGGCTGTTGAACAGTCTTGGGCCCCGGACACTTATGGTGTTTTCTCTTAGTGTACCAATGCCCCCCTCCCCCTACGTTTAATTGGTGGTATTTTACATCACTAGTAATGGGAATCACCTCTCATGTTCACCTCACCATGCAGTATACAATAAGTAAAGATATGCGCTGTGTAACACAACCTAAGTAACATATACACCAAATAATTCTGTCAAATATGAACTAACCTGCACATAATTACCAACACAAATTTTCTAACCTAAACAGTGATTTATGGAGTTAGGCATGTCTGCAAGTAGTGTATAATTGTCTACAGAAAAATTAGTACTTCCCCTACAGACACTTACCCAGTTTCTAATGAGAAGTGTGAGTGAAATCATGTAGAGACAGCGTGACTGATAGACTTTATTCGCACGTAGTATTAAGTCTACAATCGTGTAGACTTATGTGTAAACTATTGTACACCATAATTCTACCACTGAATCTATTAATAACTTGGTAGTTTTATTTTCTGCTAAACCTCCTGATTCACTTGCTGAACAAATATTAGAAATCCATTGGCTGAATCCTGTGTTAACAAAGAGAGAGAGATAAAGAGGAAGAAAGAGAGAGAGAAAGAGGAAGAAGGAGCTGGAGAGATGGACAGAGAGAGAGAGAGAGAGAGAGAGAGAGAGAGAGAGAGAGAGAGATCATACAAGCTCAGCATGTCAGAGACGAGGCCACGGGGGCGTTGACCCGCGATATCCTCACCAAGTATACTCCAGGTATACTCCAGGTATACTCCAGGTTGTTGCATCTTTGATTAAAGATTCAGTTACAGCCTATTTTGTTCAGTGGTTCTACCTAATATTATATGATAACGATCACCACTGATAGCTAGATTGGAGATGGTTAACATTATAATATTACCAGACACTGCAAATACCATGGTATATAAACACAATCTTTGACACCTCCATCACGAATATTATATTTTTTGTACATTTTGGTTAGGATTTTATATTATGTGTATTTCACGCACCAGTGTACTGCTAGTAAGGTTAGTTGAGCCCTTCATTGACTTGCCGGCTGATGACATGACCATACCTGACCTCTGATCACTGAGGGCTACTAGAATCAGTTGGTTCTCCCACTGACTACCAAGCAGTTCCCTCTCTGACATTCCCTTGCATGGGAACACCCTTCAGGTGCTAATGGTCTCAATTATTAATCTCATCCCTTGCACTGAGAATTCACCTGAAACTTATTGATGGATATATCGCGTATGTGGTGTACGACCCTATAACTTTTTGCTAATTGTGTTGCAGGAATTTATAAATTCTCGGTGTATTATTGTGACAAGTGATAATATTTATATATACTTATTAATATATATGCCCAATGTGATTTGAACTCAACTCACTTTCATAAGAGAATGAAATTATATAGACCTGATTATATTAATTAATTGAAAGAGCAATCTGGAGTTTTGGTCATCCTTAAAGACGTTAAAAAATCAAATTACTACCATAAACCCTTGATGCGTATCGAGATCTCCCCTGGACCAAAGTGAATCAGCTATCTCTATAATCTTGACTGGTTCAAATAGCTGAATAACTATCTGGGTACGCAACACAGGTGTACTTACCATAGACGTTGAGCTTGACAATGGAGGTAAGGGAAGGTGAGCTGCGAAAGTCAACTCTGCAGGTGAAGTCACCCTGATCCTTGAGTGTGACGCGCTGCAAGGTAAGACGAACCCGCTGTGGCTGCGTCAGATTCAAGGAGACACGACCGTTGTAGCCTGCGTCGCGTATCTTGGAGCTGCCTGCCCGCCAGAAGTCGCCGTTACGTGCGTCATAACTGCCGGAAGAAAAAGTTGCTTCATAAACCGAAAAAATATAACAGAAAGTATTCCCACAAGTTACACCAAAAACTTTTTAATTTCAGCCAGACTATTGTGCTCACGTGAGAAAGTGAGCAACTAGAACAAACAGCCTGATTGATAAGGCCATTAATAAGGAGGGTCTGAGACAGGGAAATGCTTCAGGAAATCAGTCTCTATGGTCCCATCTTACAACAGGCTTCCCTGAATGGAAAGTGAATTATTTCACCAGACATCGATTATAAAACACTTAGAGGAAAATCAGCCGGAAAAATGCAAATTACGAGAATATATTTAAACCTTTACCTATCATGGTAGGTGTTTATAAAGAAATATTAGGCCAGAAAACTTTACAGATTCCAGAGTGAAGATGAAGACTTATGTGAAACACTTGGGTATGGTTATTGTTGATTGGGAAGTTGTGCCTACACAGTAGGCTTCTTCAGTCAAATACAGAGGAAAATCAATTATAAGTATCAGATATAGAAGCCAGGTAAAGATGTAATCAGTGATAAGGAAATGTGTGAAATTTTCAATACCTACTTCCTCTCAGTTTTTACTCAGGAAGATACAAGCGAAATTCCTGAAATAAAAAATTATGTAGAACAGGACGATAATAAACTATGCACGATTAGGGTAACTAGTGACATGGTCCTCAGACAAATAGAGAAAATAAAACCTAACAAATCCCCAGGTCCTGATGAACTGTTTGCAAAGGTGTTACAGGAATGTAAAGAGGAACTTAGCATACCTTTGGCTAATCTTTTTAAGATATCACTACAAACTGGCATAGTGCCAGACAAGTGGAAAATGGCAAATGTAATAACTATTTACAAGGCAGGTGACAGGTCCTTAGCTTCGAACTATAGACCAATAAGCCTTACCTCCATAGTGGGAAAATTTATGGAACCAATAATTTCTGAAGCAATTCGCAGCCATCTTGAAAGGCATAAATTGATTAATGACGGTTTTACAAAGGGGCGTTCTTGTCTTACGAATTTACTAACTGTCTTCACTAAGGCATTTGAGGAGGTAGATCATGGTACTGAATGTGATATTGTGTATATGGACTTCGGCAAGGCTTTCGATAGAGTTCCTCATCAGAGACTATTGAGGAAACTTAGGGCACACGGAACAGGATTTTTTTTCCTGGGTAGAGGCATGGTAGACAAATAGACAGCAGCGAGTTTGCATAAATGGGGAGAAATCAGAATGAGGGCACGTCACAAGCGGTGTTCCTCAGGGGTCAGTGTTGGGCCCGTTGTTCACAGTCTACATAAACGACATAGATGAGGGAATAAATAGTGACATAAGCAAATTTGCTGATGACATCAAAGTAAACCGTCCAATTCATTCTAATGAGGACATTTGAGCACTCTAGGATGATTTGAATAGACTGATGCAATGGTGGGAGAAGTGGCAGATGCAGTTTAATATAGACAAATGCAAAGTTTTAAATGTTGGACAGGAAAATAACCATGCCACATATAAACTAAATAATGTAGATTTTAATACTACTGATTGCGAAAAAGATTTAGGAGTTCTGGTTAGCAGTAATCTGAAACCAAGACAACAGTGCATTAGTGTTCGCAATAAAGCTAACAGAATCCTTGGCTTCATATCCAGAAGTATAAATAACAGAAGTCCTCAGGTTGTTCTTCAACTCTATACATCCTTGGTTAGGCCTCATTTAGACTATGCTGCTCAGTTCTGGTCACCGTATTACAGAATGGATATAAATTCTCTGGAAAACGTACAGAGGAGGATGACAAAGTTGATCCCATGTATCAGAAATCTTCCATATGTGGATAGAATGAGGGTCCTAAATCTGCACTCTCTAGAAAGGCGTGGAATTAGGGGGGATATGATTGAGGTGTATAAATGGAAAACACGAATTAACAAAGGGGATGTAAATAGCGTACTAAAATTATCTAACATAGTCAGGTCTCGCAGCAATTGTTTTAAATTAGAAAAATTCAGATTCAGAAGGATATAGGAAAGCACTGGTTTGGTAATAGAGTTGTGGATGAGTGGAACAAACTCCCGAGTACCGTCATTGAAGCTAAGACTTTGTGTAGTTTTAAAAATAGGTTAGATAAATACATGAGTGGGTGTGGGTGGGTGTGAGTTGGGCCTAACTAGCTTGTGCTACTAGGTCGGATGCTGTGCTCCTCCCTTATGTGACGTGTCTGACCTCACTAGGTCAGTGAGGTCAAACGGTCAGTGAGCTTAAGGTCACTAGGTCAGTGAGCTTAAACCGGTGGGAGAATTATACCTGCCTCGCATAGGCCAGTAGGCCTCTTGCAGTGTTCCTTCTTTCTTATATTCTTATGTTCTTTGGAGAAATGCTTTTTGAGGGGGTCAGTCTTCCAGCCTGGAGAAGTGTTGTGGCATGCTGAGAGTACGTTATTTTTAATTTTGCGAATGTCACACACCCATATACACATACCTTCCCAACTAGCGAACTAGGTGCTAAGAGTCATGTTAGGTGCTAAGAGTGTAACACGCGGAGCCTCCTTGTTATGCTAGGACTTGTTCAACCAGCTAATCACAGAGAAGCCCACTAAAGCTGTGAAAAGATTCTGGAGGCTCGTGGAGCAACATTGACAGACTTACCTCAAGTGTGGTCAGCCAGAGTTCTCACTGTCTCTCTTACTTGCAAAACTTGCTTTATACTTGTTGTATATAAATTGTACATATTCTTTCATGCTGTTTGGTAAAGGAAATATAAGTATTTACTGACTGCTGACTATTGCACTTTCTTTGTTTCTACCATGGTTATCATCATACAACCAGGTGTGCAGGCCACAAAAATACACGTGCTCGTAACACTGGGTGCCTTTTCTGATGCCATCAGCATTTACATTGTCTCTGCATTGTCTCTACAAATCTGCCTACTGTGTCGCGTTGCAAACCTGCAGTGTCGTTGCGTGTTTCTGCTTCGTATTTGCGTTGAGCGTATTACAAAGGTTAGCGTTTTGTTATAGTGCTGGTGGGTTATACCACTGACGTGTATTAGGCGATTGATGACTGAATATACCCTTCAAAATTTGTCAAGACCACCACTACAGCACTGCTGGCGAATTGCTGGTTCTATGGGTATAGAATGTCAACGAACTCTTACTGTTGCACAGTTTCGTGAGTTTATTTGCAACAAATAAAGGTTGAATTCGTGCAAAATGGGAGTGCCAGTCTTAGATTTCATCTGCTATGGAAGCTTTTAATCGGTGATCCCTGCTTCGATATCTTCGTGATGGGGGAGGACAAACTCCGCAGCAACAGTGTAACCATCCACCTGTGGAAACAGGTGGTGAATAGGGATTGTCTAGATGGGAGTCAGCATCGTTAGCGTGTGAATTGGCTAGACTAAATTTTGAGTACACCACGCTAAGGAAGAATTATATAAAGCAGGACAGGAGGCAGTTTCGGCACACTGTGGATGTCAATTTCAATATAAATAAATCTGTGTCTCTAGTACCTCGATTTTCTGATTCTAAGTCTGAACAGTTTTCGAATCTTTCGAAATTCAGGCGCGAACTTTGTGATGGCGACTCGAGTACTGGGCAGCATTGGTTCATACAGCATTATACGGCTAAGCGCAGGAATTTACAGCACTACTTCCTCCCATACCCGCGAATGGAGAACCATTTGCGAACATAATTATCGATTGTGTGGGACTCTTACCTAAGGCCAAGTCAGGTAACCCATATCTATTTACCGTTATGGATGCAACTACTAGATATCCTGACGCAGTACCTACGTGTAGTATAATAAAACCATTCTTAAAGCCCTCATTAAGTTTATTCCCACTTCGGCATTCCTTACTCTATTCAAAGTGACCATGGCCCTAATTTCACAACATAAGTGAAATTGATAAATTAGACACATGTGCAACTCTTGGGTATCTTTATTGAGGAAACGTTTCGCCACACAGTGGCTTCATCAGTCCATACGTAGGAGAAACTTGAAGAACAGGAGGAGAATGAGGTAATCAGTCCCTCAACCTTGAGTCGATGTGTTCAGTCCATCAATCTTGAATAGAATACGGCATATGAGCGGAGAAGCAGCTTATAAACCGTATGGACTGATGAAGCCACTGTGTGGCGAAACGTTTCCTCAGTAAAGATACCCAAGAGTTGCACATGTGTCTAATTTATCAACACGTCGGTTCTCTGAACCATTCATCTACAAACCTGTCAGACACTGCAACTTCTTGGGATCTTAATACTTAGGAATTCTTCGCTTGCCTAATTCTTGGGCACGACCTACTTCCACATTGAACAAATGTGACACGACCTATGACTGCTGCACCTCTCCTGCCATACAGTTTATAAGCTGCTTCTCCGCTGATATGCCGTATTCTACTCAAGATTGATGGACTGAACACATCGACTCAAGGTTGAGGGACTGATTACCTCATTCTCCTCCTGTTCTTCAAGTTTCTCCTACGTATGGACTGATGAAGCCACTGTGTGGCGAAACGTTTCCTCAATAAAGATACCCAAGAGTTGCACATGTGTCTAATTTATCAACATGTCGGTTCTCTGAACCATTCATCTACAAATAAGTGAAATTAAAACCAGCTGGGAATTAATCAAAAACTGTCCACAGCCTATCATCCTCAGTCCCAAGGAACCTTGAAAAGGGTTCACCAATCCTTAATAAAAATCTATTACGAGTACATATTGCAAGCATTTTCCTACAGACTGAGAAAATCGCTTCCTCTGATGCTGTTTGCAGTGAGAGAAACTGAGTAGAAATCAAAAGTATACAACCCTTTTGAAGCGATTTATGTGGATAACATGAGAGATCAAATACACGTGCTGAAGGAAGAATGAATGGGAGAGGACACTTACAAGACTCCCCATAATCCTACATTAAGATTGCATGTGGCACGTCATCAGCTAGCTAAGGCCAACCTAAATATCTCTGAAAACAATATGAAACAGATGTATGACAAAACTTTCAAATTTCTCTC